TGAGTCACCCTGAGCCCTGGGGGGCGGGGGGTAGGGCGCGGAGGCCCAGCCCCGGGCTGACCCTCTCTTTCCATAGGCGGACGTGGCGGTGGCGCCCGAAGAAACGCAGGGTGAGCCCTGGGGGGCGGGGGGTAGGGCGGCGAGCCGGCGGGGGCTGCGGACCGGCAGACGCTGACCTCCTCCGCTCCCCCAGCACTCTACCGGGAGTACCGAGCCCTGAAGCAGGTCCTGGGCCAGGCAGACGGCAGCCGGCTCCCTGACCCCGAGCAGACCCCCGAGGCGGCGCAGGAGATACCAGCTCAGGTACCTGGGCTGGGAGGAGGCCTGAGGCCTGAACCTGGAGACACATCTGGCCCCAACCCCTTCCAGAAGGTGCCTGGGAAACCCAGCTGCTGGGGTTCCCACCTGAACCGGGCTGCAACGCAGAAACCACGCCCTGCCCCTGCGCCCAGCCGGAGGCTCGCCGTGCCGGACTACGGGAAGAAGCTCAAGGCCAACCTCCAGGGCACCCTGCAGGTGAGGAGCCCAGGGCGGGGAAAGCGCCTGTGCACACCTTTCCTGGCCCAGCGCAGCGAGTGGACCCCAGGGATACCAGGTCACTGAGTGTGGTGTGTGCCCACCTCCCAGGCAGAGCCAGCTCTGGGCTACAGACCCTCAGCTCCAAGAAGACCCTCAGTCAAGACACCTGGCCTGGAACCTCCAGACACAGAGGCTGCCCTCTCCTCTCCAGAACTCAAGCAAACAACCCCCCAGCCTCGGCCAGCCTGGCTCCAGCAGCTACAGTCCCCCCTGAGCCGTCGACTTGCCTCCCTGGACCCTGGCTGGCTGCAGCGGTGTCAAGATGGGTCCCCAGAATTGCTGGAGGCTACTGACGCCTGTGGACCTGGCCTGAGCTCAGAGGAGCCTGGCAAGGAACCACAGCTGCCGCAGACCTCAGGTGTGCTGGCCACCCTTGGCAACACTGGCCCTGACCCCAAGGGTCCAACATTGCAGGAAGCCGGGGGCAACAAAGGGAACCCTCGGCCCAGCAAAACACCCACGCCGGGCTGGGACCCTCAGGGCGCACCTCCACAGACCCAGTGGGACCAAGACCATGTGAGACCCTGGCTTAAGGATGCTGGGGCCACAGAGCTTAATGAAGATGCTCTGGAGGATCAGTCTCCTCGGCCCCGGATCAGCTCCTCCACACCCAGGTACCCAGCTCTGACACCCCCACCCCCTCCACCCCAGTGAGTGGGTGACTCCTACAGGTTGAGTCTGATGTGGAAACTCTCCTGATGTATCTCCTAGGTCCACCTTCCAGGAAAGGGGTAACTATGTCAAGCTGAACCTGAAGCAGAAAAGATATGCACGGGGCCCAGCCCTGCGGGGTGCTCACCTCAGAAAGCAGGTGAGGAAGGTCCCTCTCCTTGCTTCCTCCCACCTCCCACCTTCTCTCTCTCTCTTCCTTCCCCCGTCCTCCAGTCTGCACCAAGATCTGCCCTGTGTCCCCAGGTGAGGAAGCAAAAGTGGCAGAAGAAGAGGGTGTGTTTCAGAAGCAGCCTATCTGGAACCCCAGCCAAGGACTCCTGCTTCCGCTGCGGGCAACCCGGGCACTGGGCCTCCCAGTGCCCCCAGTCAGGTGGGCCCCACCCAGGGACCAAGTCTGGTTTGGAAAGGTGCTGTGTTCCTTACAAGGCGGCCTTACCTGTCCCCCACCCTAGCCCCGAGCCTCCCCTGGCCCGGGAAGAGGGTGGCAGAGACCAGGACAAAGTGGCTCACAAGATGGGTGCTACCAACTGCCAGCTTCCTGGTGAGTGGGGGCACAGCTGAGAGCAGGGGCTCCCTTGCTAGGTCACCGCAGTCTAGCGGGAGCCCTCACAGCATCCTCTCCCCCATCTGCCCCAGCAGGGGAGGATGACACTGGACCCACCATGCCCCTGGAGTCCCACCCAGCCCCCATGGTACCGCCCCTCTACCCACCTGGACCATCGAAGCAGGTAGCAGGTGAGCAGACACTGCAGTTCAGACCACTCAAGGGCAGACCTTGTCACACGCCACCGCCAGTAACCCAATCCTTACCCCCAGAGACCCCGCCTGAGGTGTTGCAGGCCCTGAGGCAGCTGGGACACCAGGCCTTCCGTCCCTGGCAGGAACAGGCGGTCATGAGGGTCCTGTCAGGTGAGCAGGATTGCACAGGGCTGTGGGGCTGCGTGGGCAGAGGCTCCTGCTGACTCCGGATCTCCCCAGGCATCTCCACCTTGTTGGTGCTCCCCACGGGGACCGGCAAGTCCCTGTGTTACCAGCTCCCAGCTCTGCTGTATGCGCGGCACAGCCCCTGCCTGACGCTAGTCATCTCCCCGCTCGTCGCGCTCATGGACGACCAGGTGTGTGGGGTGCTGCGTCCTGCCCCTCCCCGCAGCTTGCCTGCGGACCAAGGGCAGCAGGGCCAGCAGCCTTGACGGACAGGGCTCCTCCGCAGGTGTTGGGCCTGCCTCCAGGCCTGAAGGCTGCCTGTCTCCACTCAGGCTTGAACAGGAAGCAACGAGAGAGTGTCCTGCAGAAGGTGAGGGGCCTGACCTTGGCAGAGGGGCAGGCAGCCAGGGCGGGCAGCCTACCCTCATCCTGCCCTGCTCCCACCTCCAGGCAAGGACAGCCCAGGTCCATCTGCTGCTGCTATCACCAGAGGCCGTGGTGGGGGCTGGGTCGGGAGGTGCCACCTGCCTGCCCCAAGCCTCTCAGCTGCCGCCTGTGCCCTTCGCCTGCATTGATGAGGCCCACTGCCTCTCACAGTGGTCTCACAACTTCCGGCCATGCTACCTGCGTGTCTGC